TTAGTTTAGCTTCTGAAAGATTCAACTCTTTCACGTAAAAGACAGTTCCGCTCAAGTATCTAATAATTTAGGTACCTATCTGAAAATAATTTTGTTGGGTTATCAAAATAATTGTGTATGTACAACAAATTGGTTAAACGTCGTAACTTATATTTGCAGCGTTGCTCATTATGCTTTAATTCTCTGTATAATTATTTTTGATATTCAAAATTATTTTCAGATTTATCTAAATTTGTAGATATTTTAACAAAATTTTTTTTTCAAACAGAAATATTGATCACATTTTTTTGTTTAGTTGCATATTTTTGCTAATGTATAATAAATCTCTACTAAAATATTAATTTAAGATAGAGAATTTGATATAAGATTAATTGCTTGGTTGACTTGGCATTGAAATTTGAAAGGCGACTGTAATCTGCAATACAAAATAATAAATTTTCAAGTAAACAATGCAACACGATATAAGCGAACATCGTTCTATTCTGGTTAGAGATTCTCACTATCTCAATGAAACGATGGGAATTACGGTAATGATGTCAATGGCATCGTGCTGATAATATCCTAGTTGCTACTAATAAGCGACTTCCTCAAACCATGCTTCTCTCTGTTTCCATGCAAATTACGTGGCCGTAAATAAACGCACGACGCATGAGTCGGAGAACTTAAATACACCCTGTATTAGTCCAGCGATTCGCGCGGCTAGAATCCGTATGTCGTTTTCACACAATCATGAACAACGAATGTCTGTACCGATTATCTCGATGTGTCCGCCGATTAAATTCTTCGACGACGAATAAGTAATCAACTCACTAAACAAGTGTGCACATCGATTAATATGACATTCATTACAGCTTTGAATTATACAAGACTAATGATAGACATTTCCTTGATCAAAGAGTCAAATAACAAAAATAAAAGGCAAGTAAGCGTAATTGAATAAATTATTATCAATAAGAATAAAATAATTGAGTTAAGCATTGGTTTGTTTTTCAGAAGTATATATATACACTACGCAAAAAAATTAAAGGATCACTTAGTCCATCCCCAAAAATAGGTAAAAATTCAGAAGAGTGTAACTTCGTAAAAAATAATCATAACGAAATTTTTAAAAAAGCATTTTAAAGCATGAAATCTCTACTTTCGAAATCGGTAATTGATATTTCGATTTGATTGATTTTTTACGTAGCTATACGAACAGAAATGGGTATCCGTCAAATCTGAAAATTTTGTACAAATTTTACAAAAGTCTATGGCATGAACTAAAAATCGCACACAAATGCGGTTTTAAACAGTCGAAAGAGTGAATCTTTACCTTCAATTTGCTTTTTTATTGAACGTTTTTTTTCGACGAGTTATTCGACATTCAATAAAAAGGGTCATTTTTGCTTCAATGTCGAATAACTCGTCGAAAAAAAATCGTACAACGTTCAATAAAAAAACAAATTGAAGGTAAAGATTCACTCTTTCGACTATTTAAAACCGCATTTGTGTGCGATTTTTAGTTCATGCCATAGACTTTTGTAAAATTTGTACAAAATTTTCAGATTTGACGGATACCCATTTCTGTTCGTATAGCTACGTAAAAAATCAATCAAATCGAAATATCAATTACCGATTTCGAAAGTAGAGATTTCATGCTTTAAAATGCTTTTTTAAAAATTTCGTTATGACTATTTTTTACGAAGTTACACTCTTCTGAATTTTTACCTATTTTTGGGGGTGGACTAAGTGATCCTTTAATTTTTTTGCGTAGTGTATATATATGTATACATTTGTTAAAAAATAGATAAATTTAAAGACGTTAAAGTAACAAAACATATAAAAATTGGAATTTAAGCGGAACTGAAAGGGAACTAAAAATCTAAATTCAAATATCTAACATATTACGTTCTTTTGCATTTTCCTGCAAATTCGCTGCAGAACCTTTTGCCAAATTCGATGGACATTGCGAGCGTTCTCCGTGAACTGCATTTTACCGGAATCTTGCTCATCACGCGCACAGATATCGATGCGGCGATGCACTTTCTGCCGTGAACGGCAGGCTGGATGTCCGGAATGCGAGCGGAACCCGTTTCTATGAGTCAAGCCTGACTATTGACAACGGAGAGAGAAAGAGAGAGAGAAAGAAAGAGACAGAGATGCCCGCGGCCCACGATAGCCGATCTTGCGGTTCTGGATCGTAGCACGCGATCCAGTGTATCGTGGGGCGGCAAAGGATAAGAGAGAGAGAGAGAGGAGAGGAATTTGCGGGATCGAATCATGTTACGCCACAAAGATTGCTTTCGATAAAGACTCAGGGTACCGTGACGAGAGAGACGAGAGAGACGAGATGCACGTAGAACCATATTTAACATGTAATTGGTTCATGAACGACGAATAACATTGATTTTATATATATGGACAGAAATGTTTTTTTGCAACTAGGATAGCACGCGCTTCGCCTTTTGCATTCTATGTCTGCAGAGTACGGAAGAAAGTGATTAATTGTCACGTAAATTTGAATTAGAACAAAGCGATGTGAAAGCTTCCAAGTAGATTTGAAGATAACGCAGCAATGAGAGCGTGATGAGCAACGAAAAATAATTTTGCATCTTAATTTTGTTACTTCGTCGAAATTCTATTAAAAGTAAAAAGTGTCTGAACACGAGAAATTTACGTGCTCGCTTTAAATTATGATGGACCTCATTTATTGACATTCATTTCTGAATCTATGTATGCCTGCTCGAATTCCTTCTCTACGAAGAATTTTTGAAACCTCGTAAAATAAGACAGAATAAATACGTAACTTCGAAACAGTTTTCGTAATGTACATAAGCTTCTCGATTGGAAATTAATGTTGATTTTTTGACAAGTGACCGAAATATACAACATCGATCTAGTATCGTGAAAAGATGCGGGAAGCAAGCAAATCGATCGTATTTCCTTGACATTCGCGTTTCGGAAAACAATTGTTCCGTTTTCCAGGCATTTCGGAGCATTTGTTTGCGTGACATAGGAAATACTAAAACATTTTTTATGCGAGCAGGGTGAAAATGAAACTCACACCGTAAACATCTTTTTGCGACATGTAGGTATTACGGTGCCAAGTTACAATCGAGTTCATCGATCCGGAATAACAGTCTCTTCGTGGCTCTCAGCAATGACATATTCAATAAAGTATACATACCGGCCATTTAATCGTTGCGTCACATGAAATGAATTGACATGACAATGAAGTTTATTCTTTCTTTCATGTTAATATTTATTTAATACGTATCGATACGTGAAGAGAAAGTTACAATCATTACCTTAATGAAACGTGACGATTGAGCTTGAAATTAAAATTTTAATAATATTAAAGTGAAAGTCTTAATTGAATCGAATGTCAGTTTGAATCAAGATAAATTATTTACTGAAATTTGTCAAAATTATTTATTATATTTAATTATGTAACCCCCCCCCCCCTTGATGTACATTAATTTAAGAATTATTTCCGCATGGTGATATTCTAATTAATAGAATTAATCTCTTAAAATACACAGGAGAATTTCTAATTGCAATTACATTCTAGATGACTCTATGCCGTTAGGTAAGCGCAGAGACGAGTTCGCGTGACCCGCTCGTGCCGAGTGAGAGGAAATGTATGAACAACGTGCTCCTCCCTCTCTCTCTCTCTCTCTCTAGGAGAGGCTGTGTACGCGGTCGTAGAAAGTGATAATAACACGAGTACGGAGTAAATGAAGTATCGATGTGATTGTCCCACGCGAACCATTGATATCGCTGGATCAACCGGTATTCTCTCGCAATTTGTTTATCTCGCACGATTGCGGACAATTTGTCTTTGGATTCTTCGCGATCTCGGATATTACGCCTCTCAACCACATGCCACTTCGCGATGCGACTTTTCCGTGTGCTCGCTGCTAAAGGTCATCGTCTGCCCGCTAAGTGTTACGCGTACCACCACGATCTTTCTAATTACGCCGCTGCGTCCTCGCCGCGGAGCTCCCAATCCTCGACAACATACAGCCATACACCGTTGCACCCAGCACATTTTGCTTGAGATCTGTACGGAACATTTAAAATTTTACACGAATATTTTTTTCAATAATAAAATAAATTTTGCTGATTATACACTGCAAATCCGAGTGTGTAAAAAGTGACTTCAATACAATGTGTTATTTAGTTTTCTGTGTAAAAATGACACTATATCATATGTTTAAATATGTAAATCCATATTTCTATGCAATGCAATATTTAGACAATTGTGAAACTCGTATCGTCACATTAGCTTGAATAGTCCGAAGAAATCATCAATGTAACAGCGCACTATCCGAATAATTTTGTGATGATGTACAAAAATATATATATGCAAAGAAAAGTGCTCTAAATCAAGAAAGTTACATCTTGAAAAGATACACTTACGGTTTGCTTGAAATCGTGAACAAGTTGGAATTACAAAACAAACATTAAATGTCGAGGAGCTTTTACGCTTTGATTGAGAAACGCTTGCAAAAACCGCGACGATAATTTCGATTCCTTTTCACGTTACATTCTGTGTTAGTAGCGATGGTCGCGCTTTAAAGCGCTCCGTCACGATGTAACTGGCATGCAGTCCGTTAAAACGAAGCTATTCTCTTCTCGTTCGTGTTTGAGAGATGTGTCACCTACTTTACTTCTTGCCGTAATATATAACAATCCGTTTACAATTTCCATTCATTTTATGCTTTTAAGCTAACAATACGAGTCATGTACTTATACGTACTTTCTTATCAAAGTTGTGTGAAATTTTTTAAATTCCATCCTGTTTAAATAAAAATTCACCGCGCATGATCAATCGCATATTTCGGCTTGCGCGAAGCTCACAGATACCGAGGGAGAAAGAGAGATGTCCGTTTTCTCCGTTGTTGAGCAGGGTATAGATTATACCCCGTATCTATCCTTCTTTTTACGGTCGGACTATTCCGACCGACAGCGGAGAGTGAACAGTCAGTCCATTAATTATTTTCTCCGACCTGTTGCAGAGGCACCGCCGGCACCATCTCGGAAGCCATGCCGGCTGACGAGTTCGTGCGTATCCAACGAGAAGACGGTGGTAGAAAACCGAGCTTGCAGCCGCCTTAACGCACTGATCGACTGATTGCGTCGTCGCTGATAAAGAAAGAGAAAGAGAAAGACGAAGGCCTTTCGCAGATCGACCCGATCATGCCCTTAGCGAGCTCGTTCCACTGCCCGTTGTCGTCGTATAGTTCCACGCTGTGAACCCGATATGTGAGAATCGCCGCCGCCGTCTGGTGGATGCCATCGCCATGGTGGAGCAACTGGTGTGCAGCAATTCGCTGAGTCCGGGAACGTAACGTTCAAACGAGCCTCAGGTTCATGCATATTCCTTCTATCTTTAAGGAACTAATTGCCATCGGGACGAACGAAAGGTAGCTCCGGCTCGAAAATTAACAAATGGCATGTCTTTACGTATTTAGAATAAAGAAGACTTGACGAATTTAAAGAGCGATTTATTTTCCTACGACAGTTTTAAAAAAGTAAAAATGAAAAGTTGAAATCGATGAATTGCATATTGATTCACGGTAGACTTAGCGTAGCTTCGAAGTTTAGAAATTTAATCATTTATACGGAACGTTCGCGTAGTGTGAAGAAAGAAGTGATATTGTTCATCACGGAGAATCTAAACTGAAGAGAATTGAATTCAACGTGTTATGTGTTTATGTGATTTGGAAACTCTCTTGATAGACAATTAGTTTTATCGTGAGACATTCAATGTGATGAAGAAAGAAGTGACATCCTCTAATATGATACGAATTTAGTATGAGGAAGATCAAAGTTAACATCTACGTGCTATGACACGGTGGATTTGGTGCAATTCAGTAATCTGTTCCGTCACGAGATCGCCATGTAAGGATTATCGCATCAGGAGAAAAGAGAAGAAGCCTCACTCCGCGTGACACTCAGCGTGTCGAGTAATGCTGAAACACATCCTGACGGGGCAGCCGTCGTCAACGGGCTCCAGGCATCATCACAATGATTATCAGACGAGCTCGGGCTCGTTGCACGGCGGGCACCACCATCATCACTTGCACAACAGCTCCCTGCACCAGGATCAGCAACAGCAGCAACAGCCGCAGTCGCAGCAACAACCGCAGCAGCAACAGCATCTTCATCATCATCACTACACCGGAAGCACCGGGACACGCAGTGGTGTCACCGGGCATCGCGGTAACAACAGCGGAGTCGATGTGTACGATTCCGTGGCGAGACCAACGGCGACGACGGTGTCGAACGCGCATCAATCGGCGACGACTCCCTCGTCGACGCATCGGCATCCGCTGAACCATTCTCAGCTGAGCGTAAACAATTTGTCGCAACGCCTGAACCATTCGCACGCGCTTAATGTATCGACTCTGTCAACCTCTAAGCATTCGGTTAACAGCGTCAGTCCGGTCGGCGGCGTCCATGGCAATAATGGTGGCAACAATAATAATAACCATAACGTCTCAACGAGTCAGTTGGGCCACACCGTAATCTCGCAAACGAATATCTCGCATCAAGACAGACCAAAGGCGAACGGCGGCTTCGACATCTCGAGGCTGTCGCGGTTGCCGAGTCAGACTACACCGTCACCCGCGCCTGCCACATCTGCACTTCCTGTCGTAGCCAGCCAAGTAGCTGGTGGGCCGACGGTGATACCCCTCAATGCCTCCTGGTCTTCGTCCCTATCCAGGAATCTCCATCGGAGTGATGAGGCTGGCGTGAAGGAGATGCTAACGAGCCTCGGACTGCTCTGTCTGGTATCCCTACTTTTAGCTCTGCTTTCGGTCATCTTCCTACTGAAGATCTCGCCGCTCACTGTCACGTCCAACAGCCTTATCAGCCCGGAGGAATTTGTGATCGTCTATGAGGTCACCTTGGCGTTATGCGCCCTCGCCCTGTCCCTCAATCTCTGTTGCCTGCTGGTCTGCGCCATACAGTTCCTTTTCGCAGTGAAGCTCGTCAAGACCTCGTATCAGGGTCATCGGTAAGTTGAGCAAAATCATTTCTTTTTTTCGATATTCGTGTCTCGAAATAATTAAAATTAGGATTAGAGAATTAGCGCTCTCTTTTTCTATTACTCTGTTATTATTTTGATCTGATATCTCGACATTTTAATATTCAAATAAAATATCTAATAATATACAATAAAAAGGCTTTAATAAAGCTTCTGAAAGAAAGAATTCTGGCTGTTAAAGGGTTTATCCGATAAAAAGCGAGATCAATGAGTTTGATGACTAATGAACGACATGAAAAGGACCGATACGAGGCCAATGCGCCAGCCTTGACACGTTGGAATCCAATTTAATTATTTTTAAGCTCTAATGGGAACCGCGTGACTCCATGCGGGCAAGTCGAGATCCTTAATTAATTAACGTAGTAAGAGAAGGCGATATTCTCTGCGCGTTCAACGGCGACCGACTGATTCGGAACGATTGGCGCGCAATAATATGTATATCCCATCGTCTCTGTCGTGACCTCTGGGCCCAGTACGACGTTACGAAATCGTTTAAAGATTGACTCACACTTGTGCCATACAATCCGATGTTTGCAAATTACAAGATCAAGGTCTTTCTATCTCTATTTTGTATTAACTATTTACTAATATTATCATTTATGTGGTATACAATAATAATATATAATTGATTATAAAGAAATTCTCAAATTTGACAATTTAATAATCCTTGTATAAAAATATAAAGATTATTATATAAATATGTCGTGCTTTTTTAAATGAAGGAATTGATGTCTGTATAGGTAAGTACGATGCGCGAAAGGGTTTACTGTTAGTTTTGAAATATGATGATCGCCACGATCGGTGTTTCGGCCTTAACACGTGTCAGTTAGGGTGCGTTCTTTTAGGCATCGGATTTGGCAGTCGCTGCGCATCGGAGCTGCCGATTGCGTGTTTTTTAAACGATTACGCAGATACGTAGCCGGCTGCGCAGCTAATTCTATTCGTCTGCGTATCTACTGCGTATCCATTGCCAAAAGAACGAAAATCTGCGCTGCAATCGATTGTGCAGTTGTGCTAAAAGAACGAATTACTGCAAGAACTGCTGTATCCGATGCCTAAAAGAACGCACCCTTAAGGTTTTTATTGGTGTCTTTATGTGCCGGCATCGAAACGTCGCGTCGCATCGAGGAAAATTTCGGTCCTTTATACGCTGGTAAAAGGTATGCATCTTACTCCTTAAGACGCGTAATAAACGGTTTGTGATTTTGGCTCATTACAAATAGCGCCATTTAGCATATCTTAGCTAATAACTGCAATACGCGAAAAAGGAAAGACGAGGAAAGAGTCTTTTTACCGAGGACCATTGCTGCTGTTGCTGTTACTTGAATATTATTTTTGATATCCGTGCGAAATTATACAAACCGCGCAATTTCGTACGAATCACAGAATGCGATGCGATCGTGCGTTTTATTTTTCTTTCTTTCTTTTTGTACTGTGATTGTTAAAATTTTTAACGGTAATTTTATTTGCATTTAATATTAGGACACAACAAATATTTAAAAATAAAATAGATAAGCTGACTACTAAATTAGTTAAAATTTATTTAGCTGCTTTTGATTTGAAAATTTAAATGCTGAATAGAAAGAAGTGAAAGAAATTTTTGCAGATTCAATTATTAAACAAATTTTAGTGTTCAACCTTAAAGTTTCTTAAAGGTATGGATTTTTAGAATCGTTGAATATTAAAATTTATTCAATAATCGAGTCTGCAAAGGCTTCTTGGCGTTCTTTGTACTTTATATATTGTTAATCTTTTTTAATCGAAAGTAGCTAAATAAGTTCTAATTAATTTAGTAATCAGCTTTCTATTTTATTTAGTGTTTTAAACAGTGCTAATTAAACAAGAAAATAAGCGATTAGATATGCAAAAAATTTAATCCTGCAACATCCTGCGAACTTTGCACGAATGTAATAGCGACTGGTAATTTAATTACACAGGAAGCGATGGGACTTATATGTAATAGGATCTAATACGAGGATACCACATCGAGTTCCTTATTCAAAGAGAATTCTTCCCGCGGGATCAAGGGAAGCGATTTACGCGGATCGAGGCCGTTCGCGGGTGTTCTCAGTTCCTTCTCATACGATCTCACATCACCGACATCCACGATCAAGATCGTCCTTACGCGTTGGGATGGAATGGGTTCCCACTCATCCATGCATGCCCCATCCGTGTACGCACTCGAATATACACAGGTGGATCTCGTATCCAACGCACAGGGATCGGCGGCGCGGCGGTGCCCTCGACAAGATATATCAGTGTCTTAACCGTGCGAGCGTTTCTTCTCACGGAGAGAGGCGCAAAAATTCACCTTCGTGTTAGCGCGTGTGTGCGTGTGTATGCTCGCACGAAATTGCACGCGAGAAGAATCAGAGCGGAACGCAAACGCAGTAGATCGTAATGTCGCGCCACCCCGAAATTATCCTCGTTAAAGAAACGTGTTGATGCGATCACACTCGAAGCGATCTCTCCCGAAGCGTGACTTCTTTTCCTGGGTACATCGGACATGAGCACTTATATGTTGGTCGCTGTCACAACAGACACTTTGTAGACAAGGATGTAAAAATATGATATAGGGCAGGAATATCTCACAGAAGAGAAAACATGTTTTTTTAAAAAATATTAATATTTTTTGCCGAAAATTAATTCTGAACATTTAAAAGTGTGGTTTATTTAATCGATGCTTGTGGTACATTTTTATGTTACTTGGGGTATTTGCTTTATATTTGGTATTCATGTTATGTGTATATATTATCGCGGTATTTGAAAGAAAATATTCACTTTAGGAATTATTTCACAATTCAATCTTACTCTAATAATCTTTCGATTCGTTTGATTTTATTATTTCTTTTTCTGTTGATCTGTTAATTGGCAAAAACATTTTCATGATGGGATGAACTATCAAAAATATTGTAATGAACGCGTACGTAGTAATAGAATGCGTAAGAGTTCATTTTGCCACAGCGGAAAAGGACGAGGAAATCCCGAGTTGGTAAAGTCGTAGAGCAGGTAGATGGCCGTTAATGACCGCCTTGAGAATGAATAAGAAAAACAAAAAGAGTGCAAGAACGCACAGGATAACTTCCTCTTGTTTCTCTTGCGGTTTCTATCTACAGT